ATTAGCTTTAGTAATAGAGTTTTAATTTCAAGCACCATATTATTTACCATCGTCTGGCTTTCGGCAAAAAAAGTTCATTTCAGAATTTTTAAGACTGACTATATGGCTGCACTGCACACTTGTAATTTAAAAATTTCAACTCTTTAATTAACTGATTTTTACATTCAAGGATTCAAAGATTATGGTGCTTTACATTTGCGAATATTATAAATTTTTATTGCATTTGAAATTTTAAAATTCGTCTTTGCTTCAAAGCTTTAATTTACTAGCAAAGACCTCGACAAAAATTACGAGTGTTGTACGTATATCAAGAAGCATATCTGAAATTTGTAAATTTTGAATGATTTGGAGCAACTGATACAATTGTTCTAAACTTTCTACAAAATTATTTGGTTAATAAAAAATTTCTCCTATCATATTTGAAATATTTTACGTTTTTTTTGCGGAAGAATTATAGCTACTTATGCATGTGTTATTTTAATAAATAGTGATTGGTTTAATATATTTATTAAGCAATTATTTGCGATTTAGAAAACAATTGCATCACTTCCTACAAAGTGATAGTAAAAATTTGTAAAAATATCCAAATACGATTTGTTAAAGCCAAAAATATTTCTTCTTTAACCAATCACCTTTGCATTTGGTGAAGAACAATTGCGTCAGTTGCTCCACAACGAAGGAAATTTTTTTTAAGTAACGAATAAGTAATTATAGAGATCAAATAAAATCGAGTTTAGATGTAATAATTTTTTTTGAGTTTAGAACAATATCTACATTTTTTGAGAATATCAGATTCTAATTTTTAATTAAATTTTTTAATATGAAAAAAAAGTGAAAAAGAGACACTTAAATTTAGCGGTGCAAAAAGACTGATGCACGCGCATCAGTGGCGACACCCTTGATCCACCCCTATTATTTAAATCTCTAAATTTAAAGTAAACATGTTTAAATCTGTACATTGGTTCATAGGTAACGTTTGCTATATTGTTGAGCTTTGTGTCCCATGAGAAGGATAAATGGTTATATAAAATTTATATATTATATTTTTAACAACAACAAATAAATCATACATATATTTTATATATTTGTCTCTCATTATTACATAATCCAAAAAGTTATATTATAGGGATTGAACTTTTGATTTAATTATCAATTGATTTTTTGAAGCTCATTAATATAATAAGTCTGTAGATTATTAGCATATATCAATTATACATATAGTGAAACTACTTGATACAATCAAAGTTTTTAAATATAAAAATTTTTAAACTTTAAAAATAGTAAAATCTAGTTTCAGCTTCTGTCACGAAAAAACATGATACTTGGCTTTTAATGATAAAATTGTTTTCTTGAAGTGTTTTACAAAATCATTTTGTAAAACCCTTATGGCTAGATTCATCTAGAGAAAAAACTTTAAACAGAATAATAAATTTGAATCAAGGAAATTTAGGAATAAACTTCCTTTACCGATTTCATTAAATTTCTTGAAAAAATTAAATTGCATATAAAAAATTTATAATATAAAATTAAAAATTAAAAAAGGCATCTTTTAAACAATGAAAAATGAAAAAAGTAAACTTTAAAAAAACATAATGAAAAAAGAAGAGAAAATAACACTAACAAAAGTACCTATAAAAATAATACTCACTTTAGTGACATTAAAGTTAAATATAAAAAATCAAGTACCTTGTACTATATGTTATAAAAAACAAACTAAAATAAATATAAAATCATATAAAATACTATTAAGTATCAATAAGCATTGTGTAACTCTATATTACCAACTACTAATAGAATTTAGTATCTAAATTAGTAAAACCAAACCAATTAGAGTTATTGTTCAAGCATTTTCAAAACTATAGTGTTAAAATATTGGAACAACTAATACGACGACAATTATAGTCTAGTATAAAATGGTACATATAATATATTGATGTATTTTATATTCAGTTTATGTAAAAAAAACTAAGTAACATTTTAGCTTTTATTTTTTAATTTAATATGAATTCAAATGAACTTAATTTTCATGTAAGCTATGTATTCTATTGTGTTTTTAAAAATTGCTTTTCTCGTTTGTCTCTTTTTAATTCCTAAATAATAATTTTTAATTACTAAATTAAAACTTTAAATAGCTTATGCAAACTGTTCTCTCTCTCACTTTATATATATATATATATA